CTGCAGAGTGGATATGGAATCTCCAGCGTCCCCTCCCTGCCTGTGCCCTTAGTAAGTATGGGATCATCTTCAGGGCTCCTACAAGTGTAAATGTAAAACTTTCAGGAGTTTAATTAATGCTAGTGTGCATGTTGGGGGGGGGCGTGGGAAGAGAGAGAGGGAGCTTTCTCAGTTCATTGAGTCTTTCACCTGCTAGTTCTTGGCATTTATACCTGGAGAAAAAAGTGTCCTCTTTTTGACAATGCCTATATTTATTATAACTTAAATTAAAAAGGAGTGTATCTTGAACAAGCAGTTAAGAGGTCAAGAGGGAAACAGAAGGTTCTGTTTTTGTTATGGTTAATTGTTTAAATGTGTAACTGGGGATTTCCCTGTCAGGTGACAGTGATTTCAGCTCAACCGTTGCATCATGAGATCCTGTGGTGCGTGATAGATGGGTATTAAATCTAAGATGAAAGGGTTAGTATACAGATGGGTGGAAGGGCATGCCCCCCCACCCTACTCTGGTCATCTGGCCAGTTTTTTTTTTTTTTTTTTTTCACTAAAGTACTAAAGGGATTTCAGTTGAGTTAGGCCATTGGTCTCCTGAAGGTTGGAAGGGTTTTCCTCAGCCCAGGAGGATTTAATGGACTTCAGCCAGGAACTGAGCAGAGGTGCTATCTCGTTGCCTTGCCTATGGAATGTGCAATGTAGTTCTTTGTGAAAGCAGCACCAAATAGTTGGACTCCAAGGAGACTCCTGTATGCTAGCAATTACTTCTTGCATTGGGAACATAGATTTCTTTTTATTTCCTCTCTTGGGGGTGATGTGTATTTCACTGTAGATCATCTCAACTCCACCTCTGCATGCTCATCCCTAAGACAAATGCCCCTCCTAAACTGCTGAGCCATCCCTCCAGCCCCACAGATGCCCTTCTTTAAAGAATGTGGACATTAATTAATAGTTACACATGTTTTGAAATAGCTAATGTTTGAGGACGGGTTTTATTTTCAAATGTTTGTTTATAAAAACAATGTAGAAGGTGCATTTAGCTGGGTCTAATATATTTGCTGGTCTGATTTCAGTTTATGCCTGACAGTCAGGATACCATGTTCTACTGTCCTGGAGCTAAAGATGCAGCAGATGCAAATAAGATTCTTTTTTGCAGTTAATAGGTCTCAGGCATTTTACCCAGTTGTTGGTTTTAAGCATCCTCTCTGCTGCACAGCACACACATCACAACCCTTTTTATTTTCTCTAAAAAGAAGAAAAAAAGGCAGTTTTTGTGTTTGTGCCTTGGGTTGTTTTCTGGACAGAACATAGCACAAAGCATTCCAGAAAAACCTTTATCTGCTTCTCCCTCCACACAGCTGATTTTTCTGCTCCGTCAGCATGGTTCTTGCAATGAGAAAGAAAAATATGTTTACTTCCTCATTAGGATGCTTGCTTTTTGTTTTGTTTTTGAGACAGGGTTTCTCTGTGTAGCCTTGGCTGTCTGGACTCACTCTGTAGACCAGGCTGGCCTCTAACTCACAGAGATCAGCCTGCCTCTGCTTCCCAAATGCTGGGATTACAGACGTGTGCCACCGCTGCCAAGCTAGGATGCTTTGTTAACATTATCATAGGTTCATGTAAACGAGAAATTTATTAAGATTTTTTTTTTCCAGCTGGGAGTACTGGCTAGTGTAATCCTAGCACCCTGTCTCAAAAAAGATTTTTTTCACTTATTTTGTGTGTGTGTGTGTTTGACATGCATATCCGTGTTCATGTCTTGCACATGCGTGAAGGTCAGAGACAACTCTTGGTACTCTGTTCTCGTTCCATCCTTTTGGTTCTGGTGACTGTTCCTCAGGCTGCTGTTGGAGTGGCTGCAGGTATGCTCTTCCCTCTGTCTGGGATGTTCTTCCTTCCTAGCCTGTTTCATGTGATTCACCCTCACATGAGAGTGAACTGTTTCCTTCCTTCCCCAGCCTGGATCAGTTCCGATAGTTGCCAACCATAATTTGATAAATGTTCATGAATGGCTTGCTGATGTATGCCTCTGAAACACTGAATCCCTGGAGGTTGGAACAGTGTCTGGCATTGAGAAGACATTGGGAATTTGTTTATTGAGCATCAACAGCGTCACTTTAGAGACAAAACAATGCTCAGAGTTAACTTCGCTGAATACTGGATTTTAGTCAACACCCTCTGCTATAAGGATTATTAGAATACTGAGATTTTGAAGTAAATCTAAAATATATGGTTTCATGGAAACATTACTAATGATTTATTTATAATAATCAAATATATAGTACTCCAAAATAATACCTGCCTCTCATTTGTAACTCATGTTGGCCCATGTATTTGCCCTGAAAAGCAGGACAGGTTTTAACACTGGAATCTTACAGTTTGATTTCTGTTTTCTCTCGGCCTGATTCGTTTATTTTAAAAGTAGGTGAAGAGGCAGAGACAGGGTAAAAAAAGAGGTGGAAGGGACAGAATGATCTAGGCACATTCAGAAAACAACAACCAACCTGGCAGACGAGGTGATTTGAAAGGGGGCTTCTGTGAATCAGGTGTTGTTTATAACTTTAGGAAGGCAACACAGGACTGCTGTGTTTTCTGTTTTTTGTCCTTAGCACGGTGCTGCTGGGAAGCACCTTGGGCCTCACCGGTACCCGGCAAGTACTTCCCCACTGAGCTGTCTCCCCAGCTCCATTGCTATTTGTTTATGGTGAAAACATGGTATTACTAAGTTGCTTGGCTGGCTGGCCTTGCAGTTGTTCTGTCTCAGCCTCTAGAGTAGCTAGGACTGCAAATGTGGTCAGGCAGGTTCGGCTTAGCCCTTGTTGATCGATCGTAATATTATTTTCTCCAGAAGGGAAACTAAAGGTTGTTTACAGTTTGAGAAAGGGCTACATTTAGATCTGCGTATTTCTCCAGGGAAGGTTTCATAGAAGTTGTTAAGAACTGATTGAAAACTGAGCTTGTTTGGTGAGGTGAGGAGCAGAACAAAATATGACCGATTGATGATCCAGGTGGGTATTAGGTGAAATGTCAGGACCGGAAAAAGAACAGAAAATCTACACATGGATTACAGTTTGTGGTGCTAAGAAACTCCCTTTCCTTTAACAGCCACTCAGTTTTGCAGAAATCATTGTGAATAATTCTTTAGAGCTTTCTTTTTCACATTGTGTGTTACTGTGAGCAAATAAATTGCTGGCCGTGGTTAATTTCTAAGCTCAGGATGAAAGCACTGTTTCTTAAGAGTAGAAGTGAGCTGCATCTTTGCGGTTGTGCACAGTTGTTACCCAAGAGATGACCGTAAGGTCCTCAAAACAGCAGGATGTTACACTTTTGCTGGAACTTGGTGTGCCCTCGTTAAACCTCTTAACGTGTTATTAATCACTTATTAATGTTATTAGTAATTAATGTTGTTAATCATTAGCCACATCCCAGAATAAGGGCTGGAAAGTGATGTGTATATATATAATATATGTATATCTATATATGGATGTGTATATGTATCATTGTCTATGAATACATAAAATCAGAACACAAGACTGCATTTGTGAAACACTGGTTCTTGCTTACACACTAGTCTTACTACAAAAAGTGTGGGGCCGTGACTTTGGAATCGCCTGGGAGCCTCCTGGGAGGGAGAGTGATGAGGTCTGGACTCAGACCTGCAAAATCAGAATGAGCATGTCCAGCTGATGCCAACATTTTTTAAGTGCTTCTGCAAATCCTGCCAAGTAAGGCTGGATAGCGGAATAAGTATTGTTAACAAGTGACTCACTAGCTCATGTTGAATCCTGTTATCTTTAGGTACCCTAAATCTTAGGAAGGGAGCTGAGACCTAACTCTGTGAATAGCTTTCAAAGTACATCTTCATCTCTCAACTGGTTTTCATATAACATTGTTGGCCTTTGCCCTATGATCTATTCAGACTAAGTAACCTTAAAGAGCAATCTGCATTCTTTTACTCGTCAGTTTTAAGTAGTAGTTGGTTGTAGGTGACAGAGACCCAGGAACTCCATGTCCTCTATATTCATGGAGAATAATTCTGTAGATCAGGCTGGCCTTGAAAGAGATCCACCTGCTTCTGCATCCCATGTGCTGGGATCAAAGGTGTGTGCCACCACCACCTGGTGGTGATCTCTTTTTGGTGGTATCTATCTCTGCCTGGCATTCTGATTTAATCACATAATTATTTGCCTAGACTTCAGAAATAAAAGTCACCTTTTTTTTTTTTTAATCTTTTTTCTAATAGATGCAGTTAATTTTGTATAAGAAAAGCTGTATGAGGGACAGCCACAAACTTGCTTTGCAGCTTTTTATTCTTGTTTTAGGAAGTGGCCATGGCACATTCTGACACTACTTTATCTATCTATCTATCTATCTATCTATCTATCTATCTATCTATCTATCTATCATTAGAACAGCTTTATTTCGAGGCTTGGGGGAGGATTGGAGACAGCTGTCTGCTGTCCTCTGCAGGGCAGATCTTGGAAGTCTCCTGATCGATAAGAGCTGCCAGCTGTTCTTGTACCATTAGGCTGCCCTGCTTGTTCTCTTATGTTTTTATTCTCAACCCCTTCCCAACTTCTTTTCTTCCCTTCTTAATTTCCCAGGGTGTTCAGAGCTTGTAGCTCCTCCTTTCACTTCTGCATTTCACAGTAAAGCTGTGTGTGTGTGTGTGTGTGTGTGTGTGTGTAACCCAAAAAGTGAGACGGTTGCTTCTTTTCGCTTTTAGCTTGCTTTAGATTAGGTTAGCTGGATATGTTATTTTTCAAAAAGATTGAGCTGGATCCTTTGGAAAGCCAGTCTGGAAGGACAGAATGTAATGTGGGACTCGCTCGGCTGGGTTTGTGTTTGTGTTTATTTTCATTTATGTTTCATGTTTGGTAGTCTCATCTAAACATCCCATAAAGCAGCTTTTAGGAAATCACAAGTGAACTGACTAATACAGCGTTCTTACAGTATTTTGTAACAGGTTAACCGTTTTCTAAGCATACTGTCTTTGTGTTTTGTTTCAGCACTTGCACGTGAGGCAGCAGAACACCCCCTCATCTTGGATTATTTCCAGCATCAAGACCTCCACATGTCAGCAGTAGGCTCCTGAGGCGTTCCATCCTCCATCATCTCCCCTCAGCTACCCTCTTAAGAAAGAGAGGGCCTTTGGGAAACACACTCTAAAAGTGCAGGTTGGTGGACGGTGGAGTGAGCCCAGCCTTGTCTTGGGTTCCTTAGATGTGAATTTCAACACTGCAAAATGAGCCGGTACTTTCAGGTGGTGTGAATGTGTCCGTTTCCAGCTGCAAGCTGTTTTCCTTCTTTCCAGTTCTGTAGGTGGCCAGAAGGCTTAGGAGACGTAAAGCTATTGCTTCCTCCTCAGCATATCCAGAAGTCAAACTATGGAGTCTGGGAAGCTTACGTTTATAGTCTACCTGAATGTGCTTTCTTTGGAGCTGCTTTAAGTCAACATGGAAGGGGGGATTAAGAAAACTCCAGAGGTCAAAGTAGGACATTAAGTACTTGACAAATATTGGACTGACAAGCCTTGGAGGAGATGCCTTCTCATCCTGGGTCTGGGTTTCTGGATAAATTCTATTTCCCTCTGTCTTTAATGAAAGAATTAATAGTAATATCATTACACCACCCTAATGAAATTTTTAGGCTTATTCTCCCAACTATTTGCACAAATTTCATACGCCAGCTCATCAATTATTCTGAAAAAGCTTTAAAGCAATACACACACACACACACACACCCACATCCATCAGGAATTAGCTACTTAAAAACAAACAAACCCACTCCATCCCCATGGACTCTTATAGTCTTTTGGATCCATTAAGATTCAATAAGATAAGATTATTCTGCTAGCAAATTGGTTACAGTACAGCCTTTTAAAGCATTATAATTTTGTTAATGGTTGTATCTGTGTACTCCTGAGCACGACTGTGAATAGTTGTGTACCAGCACACAAATGCCACATGTGTGGAGGCCAGAGGGCTGCTCGAGGGAGTCTTTTTGCCACGTGGATCCTAAACTGCGAACGCTGGTTGTCAGCCTTTGTGGCAAGCAACTTTACCCACTAAGCCAGTGGTTCTCAGCCTTCGTAATGCTGTGACCCTTTAACATAGTTTCTAATCCCCCAAACATAAAATTATTTTACTTGTTACTCCATCATTAAGTTTGCCACTGTTATGAATCCTAGTGTAAATATCTGATATGCAGGATATCTGCTATATGACACCCCAAAGGGGTGGAGACCTACAGGTTGGTCACCACCCAACAGTTCTGTCTTCTTTGGAGATCTTTTTGTGCAGGACACCTCTTGATTGAGAAGGTTATGTTTTAGCAGCATGGACACTTTAAATATTCGTCATGCTGCTAAATTTTGGTCCATGGGAGTTTCTTGTTTATTACTGCTGAGATTATTTGTGGTGTTTCATAGCTCCACCCCTAGCCCAGGATACCCCTAGGTCACAAGATTTGGACTACACTTGACTGTCTTGAACTTAGATGTGGAGGATAAGATCCTGTTTCCTCCTGCTGGCAATCTCTTGAGGGAATTTGGCCTGTAATCTTGACTTTGCTGTTCTGTCAGTCTTTACATTTTCTGGCATCAGGGAGACAGGAGGATTTTGAGAGTCCTTTTAATAATGAAAAAAAATAAACATAGTTTGAAGTTCCAGTTCTGCTGTGTTTTTCTGGTCTTCTGTGGTGTTTCTGGTCAGGTTTTTACCCTCTCTGTAGTGTAGCCCTTTCTAGAGAGTGATTCTGACAACTAAAGATTTCTACATCTAGTGCATTCAGAACAGTTTTGCCAGATAAGGGTTCAGTAAGTTTTAGCTATTTGTTGTCCTCTTTGCTGGTGGGTTGTTGTCAACCCGACAGGCTGGGGTTGTTTTGAAAGAGGAAAACTCATCTGAGAAAATGGCCTCCACTGTGGGCTGCGCTGCTTTGAGGCAGGCGGTTCTGTGTTGTATAAGAAAGTTGAAGGGAGCCAGCCAGTAAGCCTCTGCTTCAGTTCCTGCTCCAGGTTTGTTCCCTGTCTTCTCCTTGATGATTGATTGTACTCTGTGTTGTGAAATAATCCCTTACCTTCCCAAGTTGCTTTTATCTGAGTGGCAGAAAGCAAACTACTGCCTGCCATATTTCTTCTTCTCTATCCATTTTCTGTGCTTGAGCTCATATGATTTTCAGTCTTCATCCTTATCTTGTTAAACTTGTTGAGTTGTAGTATTCCCTTCCACATCTAGAACACAGATGCTAATTCTCCACATAAGTGATCTCAGTCTAAGATGAACCTATTTTATTTACCAACTTAGATTATTTGTAAAGTTCTTGGTTTTATTTTATTTTTTTAGGTGTGATGATAAACACCAGTAATCCCATCAGTTGGGAAGTGGAGGCAGAAGGATCAGCCAGTTTATGCTATAAAGTGAACTTGAGGACAGCTAGTGAACAGGACACCTTTTCAAGAGGAAAAGGAAAAAAAATGAAATGCTAGTTATAAATCTGAATTAGCTTGCTTTTTTTTTAAAATTTCTTAGTATCTGTGTAGTTTTATTATGAAAACCATAAAAAGATATGGTTCCCTAGAAAAAGGATTTAATTTGAATTTGGCCAAAGAGTTAGCACTGCTGTTTTTGGAATGATTAATAGATGCTTAGAAATGTCAAAATTAGTGTACAGACATAATCGTTACTGTGGCAATGGAAACTTAATTTTTGAAGCTATTATTAATACACCATTTTTCTGTAAGATCTTTAACTTCTGTACTTTCAAGATGGCTTTGGGTAGACTTGGTGTATTCAATTCTAAAAGAAAAATTAAAATAAGATTCAAAAAATTCTTATAATCTGCCAGATGCTTAAATTACATTTATTACTTGTAATACTTCACTTCAGTTATGTAGCATCATTATTCTCTATTTTGCAGAGGAAAATAAGACATTAAAAAAAAAGCTAAGTAAACTCAGAGGAATTGCCAAGACTCAAATCTAAGGGATTCAATTACCAAACAGGTAAATCTTAACACCCAATAATGGTGCTGCCTACAAACTCTAAATTGTATCAAGAAGAGGATGGAATGAAAGGTCCAAATTATAGAAGTCTGTAATTCTGGGCTTAGTGAGGTTATGTGAATTTGGCAGATAGCCAGTGAAAGTTTCACTGTGGGTGCAATGGCAAGATGGAGACTGTACTTTGAGAGTTTTATACCAGCTCTAATATGGGCTGATGTAAAGGGAGGTTTGGAGATCATTAAGAGTAGCTGAGTGAGATGGAATGAGAATGAGGGCTTGGGAGAGAAGATTTAAGATAGCCAGAGAGCCTGAATATGATTGGGTAGAGGTAGAAGTGAAGCTCTAGAAGCACAGGCAGAGAGGCGTGACATACAGTCCAGGCTCTCTCGGCACCACCCACATAGAAGTGGGCCAGATGTTTAACACCTTAGAGATTTAAAGAGACCTGGATTAAAAGAAAGGCCATTAGTGTCAACAGTATCATTCTTATTGATTTGTTTATTCTCGAGTAAGTAAATACTACTGTGCCTTCACTGTGAAACAGGAGTTGTGCCATGGGGAGGAGTTTTAATCCATGTAAAAATGCTCTGCTATGCCCGACTCTGTTTCTTAAAGCTAAACACTTTTGACAGGTTTTTACATTTCTAATTCTTATAATCCTGGCTGTCTCTACTGTGATTTAGTATATAAGGCCTCATTCTGTCTAAGTGTCCTAAGTTTTTGAACCCTTCCTAGCTCTAAGATTGAAATTCCTGGATATAGTTGTACATAGCAGTAACTGGAAATGCTTTTGTTTAATATCTGTGTGTGAGAGAGACAGACAGAGACAGAAAGCAAGACGTGGCCAAAGGACAACTTATAGAAGTTGGTTTTCTGCTTTCACCATTTGGGTCCTGAGGATTGAATTTCAGGGTCAAGAGGAGAGTTCTACATATTTCCTTCTCAAAACACCACTAGTATCATGAGACAGCCGTAGTAGGTAGGGTATGAAACTGTCATTTATGGAGGAACAATTGTGTCTGCTGTGTTTACAAGTAAACCACAGACATTTCCTGCTTGCTATGGTGAGCGAATCTTTTCTTCAAGCCCTCTTATCCTTAAAGGGTGTTTAATTTGTTTCTTCTGAGAAAATTCCGTTCGTTTGCTATTTTGTAAGATGTCTGTAGGTGGAAGCATGGGAGTTAAGGAACTTCTAAAATCTCAAAACCCATGGTTTGCATGAGGCCCTGATTCTCACTGGGGACCTGTTCCCTTTCCTCTGACTTCAGCGGTGCTTTTTTAGCAAACATCACTCAGACATCTGCTGACTCACAGGACCAGAGAGGGCAAGAGTGCATTTCTGGTGATTCGGACTCTGGACTACACTGGAGTGCCAGGGAAAGGCACTCCACATGTTTTTCTTTACTGGTAACAGATAACCAGAATGATTTTTTAATTTGTGTAGTTTAACTTCAGTACCACACCAAGTGCTGTTTTCTTCATCCTTGTGAACATATGCATCATACTTATATGCGTATAGTCAATGTATTATCATTACTAATACATTTAGAGCGACTTTGTTAGTGACTTTTGTGTTATTAAATAGCACCTGTAACTTAAAACATATATATATATATATATATATATATGTATATATGTATATATGTATATATTTCCATTTCAACTGACTGAAGTAAATATGTTTAAAAATTGGTATCAAAATGCAATGTAAACTTTGTATAAAGTTAAAAATATTTACTGTACCATTTTAGTGTGATTTCTGTTGCTCTGATAAAACACTGACCAAAACAAATATGGGAGGAAAGAGTTTATTTGGCTTTATAGGTTCAGTCAATCACAAAAGGAAGCCAGAGAAGGAAATCAAGGCAGGATCCATAGTTTGAGGCACTGAAGAGACTATGGAGGGACAGTGCTTAGGGGCTTGCTCCCATGGCTTGCTCAGCCTGCATTCCTAAACAACCCAGACCTACTTGGTCAGGAGTGGTTATCAGCTTCAGTGCGCTTGGTCCCATAGTCCATCAATGCAGAAAATGCAGTTCAGGCTCACACATAGGACAACCCAGTGGGGTCGTTTTCTCAACTGAGCTTCACTCTTCTCAAATGACTCTAGCTTGTGCCAAGGTGGTGTAAAACTAGCCAGCACACATGACTTGCTCAGCTTGGTTTCTTATG